GTAACAGAGAAATAAAAGCTCTTGCTCAAGTAGAGAGAGAAAAAGCAAGATCCAAGCTCACACAATTCCACCTCTGATTTAACTCCAGAAAATGCCTGAGGCCAATTCACTTAAGACTTATTTAAATTTTATAGCTCATTTTTACTACAGCATCATGAGCCTCTTATTCTGCCCAATTTTGTCATATTTCAACAAATGAAAAGGGATTTTGCTGTTAAGCTGCCTAAAGAACAGAAACATTTGCTGAAGAGAAATACAAGAAGCCAAGGAACATAGACCTGGTTATTATTTCTCATCATTATCACCCAAGAACATCTAGCACGCCTTTTTCTTCTTCCTTGTGAGGAAGCTGGAAGCTTCAAGGACCAAGACTGAGCCACATGCTTTTCATTTCCTGACCTCCTCCCTGGGCCTCCACAACACCCGCTGCACACACAAAGTCTCCATCCTCTGCTTGCAGACTCGGGCCCCACCACTTCTACCTTTTATTCAGAAGTAAATGAGGCATAAAAAGTCAATACTCTGCATACTTATCAGCTCCAAATGATAAACATCTGCCTTCTGGCCCTATCCATTCCCTTGATCTGTACTGACCCTTGCGTGGCTCCAAGCCTTCTCAGGTTTATGAAGCACTTTCACGTTCATTAATCTCAGAGTCCTCTCCCTAAACCTGAGAGAAGGGTATCTTTCTCTTTGTATTACAGAACAGAAAATGGCTGGGCAAAGGGGAGGTGACTGGCCAAGGTCACACAGGTCAGTGGCAGACCCAGAACTCTAACCCCTAGTCCAGAGTTTATTTTTCTATAACCTGTACAAGGTTCTCCCTTGTAAGAGTAGAGACATACACAAATCTGAGCCTTACTGGGCAATGTTGGGTTCCAGAAAAAATAGTCTCAGAAGCCGGTCACGGTGGCTCACACCTGTAATCCCAGCACTTTGGGAGGCTGAGGTGGGCGGATAGCTTGAGTTCAGAAGTTCGAGACCTGCCCCAGCAATATGGCAAAACCCTGTCTCTGCAAAAAAAAAACACAAAAAATGAGCTGAGTATGATGGCACACATCTGTAGTCCCAGCTACTCAGGAGGCTGAGGTGAGAGGGTCAACTGAGTCCAGGCAATGGAGGCTGTGCTGAGCTGAGATTGTACCACTGTACTTCAGCCTAAGTGACAGAGTGAGACTCTGTCTCAAGAGGAAAAAAAAAAAAAGTCTCAGAAGATACAGAATGAAGTAGTACTAAGAACTCAGGCTATGGAGCCAGAGAACCAAAGTGTGGATCGGAACTCTACCTGCTAATAACTGTATGATGCTGTGTAATTTCGGGAGGCTTCATTCACACAATGCTTCATGTGAATTGCTCCCCCATGTGAATGATGACTAAGGTCTTCAGTGCAGGTGTCTTGGGAATTACATGACTTCCCTGTGACTCAATAGTTCCATTGGAGAAAGGGGCATAATGAGAACTATTTCCAAGGCTGTCATGGCAACTGAATAAAACAAAGCCTACAAAGAGCAGATAAAGCCTGGCCCAATCACAGATGCCCCAGATGCCCTGTCTCCTTTGAGGACGATTTCCCTCATCCCCACCCCACTGCGTATTATCCCTTGTTGTGGAAATGCTTGCCTCCAGTGAACGGCTTCCCCTCCATGCCCTTGGCGACTCCCACAGCTGGGACATCCCATAATCTATATTGTGTCAGACACTGCACTAAGCCCAAGCATGCATGCTCTTCCTCGATCCCCATGTTGCAGGATCTCCCCCACCCTTTCACTAATCCAGACCCTCACTGAAGAATGAGCACCCCAAGTTGCTCCAGGAACACCTGGATAACGGGATTCTCATCTCAGTACTGCCATTAACAATCAAGGTGACCAACAGGCCCGGGATGTCGCTGCTCTGAGTCCCAACTAATTCATCTACCAGGAAAGGTATCTCAATACCTGTCCTGTCTCTTAAGAGAATTGCTGTCTCTATAAACAGGATGAATCATGTGAAGCTGTAAATGAGAGCAGGGAAGAAGGTGAATTCAATGTAAGAGGCTCTGAGTTATTGTTGAAAGAAATGGCCAGGCTCTTACTAACTGCTGAGAACCCCATTTTAAAATTTACCTCTGGGTCAGGCATGGTGGTTCATGCCTATAATCCCAGTACTTTGGGAGGCCAAGGAGGGAGGATCGGTTGAACTCAGAAGTTCAAGACCAGCCTGGGCAACAAAGTGAAAGCTTATCTCTACAAAAAAATTAAAAATTAGCTGAGCGTGGTGGTGTGTGCCTGTAGTCCCAGCTACTCAGCAGGCTGAGATGGAAGGATCGCTTGAGCCCAAGAAGTCAAGTCTGCAGTGAGCCATGATCACGTTGTGCCTGTACACTCCAGCCTGGGCGACAGAGCAAGACACTGTCTCAAAAAATAAAAATAAAAATCTACCTCTGAGGGCCGGGTATGGTGGCTCACGCCTGTAATTCCAGCACTTTGGGAGGCTGAGGCGGGCAGATCACTGGAGGTCAGGAGTTTGACACCGGCCTGACCAACATGGTGAAACCCCATCTCTACTAAAAATACAAAAATTAGCAAGGTGTGGTGGGACAGGCCTGTAATTCCAGCTACTTGGGAGGCTGAGGCAGGAGAATCCCTTGAGCCTGGGAGGTGGAGGTTGCAGTGAGCCGAGATGGCACCATTTCACTCAAGCCTGGGTGACAAAAGCATAACTCTGACTCAAAAAAAAAAAAAAATCTTCCTCTGAGAAGTACAAGCAGAACCTAACAGTACTGGAGGCAGAAGTCTAAACACGAACACACTGAGAAGATAGAAAGCTTCATGTAATGTGCTATACAGTGCTAGAAAGGAGAACATGAGGGAATTCCCGCTGAACTATACTAGGACTCCTAGACTAAGGCGGGGACAGACATCAGAGAGCCTTAGGATACCCTGCAGACCTCTTCTGTACTCCTGGTTTCAAGGTGACCATGTGGACTGAGGGCCAAATTACTGCCAATCAGATCCAGCCCGCCTGTATGTCTCTTACCTGTGCAAACCCATGGGCAACCACAGGGACTCCTCCCTCTTTTCTTTCCCCTGCTCTCCTTTGCATACCTTTAAATAATGGAAAAGTAGCAGAGTCCCTGAAGTTAGATATGGGATAGTACATGTTTCTGAATGCACATTCCCCATGGAGTATATTTATGGGACAATAGGGTGTCATATATGACTTAGAAACTCCCCTAGAGAACTAAGATGTGAACAGGCCAGAGATGTTCCTTCCATTCCACGTGCGTGTGCCAAGCACCTGCTGCCACACACCAGGCCTGCACTGGGCACTGGACATAGAAAGGGGCAGAAAGCATGAGCCTGGGCCCCCCAGGGTTCATGCCATAATGGGTGGGGCAGGGAGGATTTTGGTTCTGGCCATTTGCTTTCATTATTATCTCCACTGCTTTCATTGGTTTTTTGGGTTTTTTGTTTTGGTTTGGTTTGGTTTGGTTTGAGATGGAGTCTCGCTCGCGGCTCACTGCAACCTCTGCCTCTTGGATTGATGTGATTCTTGTGCCTCAGCCTCCTGTAGCTGGGATTACAGGCCCGTGCCACCACACCCAGCTAATTTTTGTATTTTTAGTAGAGACAGGGTTTTATCATGTTGGCCAGACTGCTGTTGAACTCCTGACCTCAAATGATCTGCCAGCCTCAGTCTCCGAAAGTGCTGGGATTACCGGAGTGAGTCGCCATGCCTGGCCTAGGTTTTTATTATTATTATTATTATTATTATTATTATTATTATTTACTATGTCTTTTTTTTTTCCAGGATGATGGGGGTGAGAGGACAATAGCCCCAGCATCTGGTCATAATTTGTAAATCTCGACATTCTCCCTAACACCAGCTGGAAATACTTCATGCTCTAGCATCATGGCAAACAATAAGCATCCATCTTATTTCAAGACTGTGATAAAATGAAAGAGATGGTTATTTGCCTTATTTTTTGTCTTTTTTTTTTTTTTCCTTTTATAAAAACAGTAAGTTGTTTGCAGTGCCTTAAAAGAATACTACTTTAATAAAAGCCAGCCTTTACCTTAAAGTCTTTATTCAACAGTGAGGTTTGTCAGATACCAAGGGCTGGTTTCTTCTGAAAATCATTAAAGGTCTGGCTCCGAAGGTGTGCAAGCCACAATTAACCGGGGCCAGCCTTTGTTTTCCTAGGCTCTGCTGCCCCCTGTCAGAAGCTAAGAATGTTACAGGAAATAGAATATTTTGAACAAAGGTTTTCACAGAACAGCAGTTTTACACTCTTATCAGGTGATGAAATAGAATACTCTCCCACCTTGTGAATGAAGACCAAAGAATTATTTGCTTAAAAATATGCCTATTTGCTTGGCTGCTTAGACGTTCTTGCACAACTCCCAGCAGTAATCACCTGTCTGAAATAATTCAGGCAGCGGCTGTCATTCACTGAGTCCATCTGCACATATACAGGGAGCGGCAGACGGATGCTGGGGGCGTGAGGGTGAGTTGTGTGTCCATCCCACGTCGTCACGCTGTTCACAGACCATCGGGGAAGACGAGTGAACAGACGACTTCCACGTCGTAGAGCGAGGGAGAAGTGTGTGCGCCCCAGGTGCTAGGGAAGCACACAATGCAGCACCTTCGCCAGGTATGTCCTAATGAAGTCGAAGGAGTCCATTCTCAAAGAACTAGTGGGGACCACCCAGCTGAAGGGGAAGCAAAGGGCTTTTCTGGATAGTGGCAACTGCATGTGCCAAGGCAGAGGCCCCTGGAAGAGGGTGGCAAGTTCTGGCAATAGCAAGAGGGGACTGAATTATGTGGTGGTCCTACTCTGAACACCCCAGCTGCTACTCCGCTGCCTGGCAACTGGTTGTCCCCAGGCTACTTCATCTCCCGTTGCCTCAGTGTATGGCCAGGTCAGAGGCCAAGACAAAGGCAAGGAAAAGGGACCCTAGAGGGGGATCCAAGGCACACTAAAGTGCTGGCAGTTGCCTTGTGTCCTGCATGCATCCTTTTTTTTTTTTTTTTTACTTTATTAAAATACTGAGTTTTATTTCACATGTATATTTTTGTCTCCCCACCATTTCCATGTCTGACCACTGCTACTACTATGTCCTATCATAACATTCCATACACACTTAAAACCAAGCAAAGGGTAGAGCTCCATCTTTAAAAACTAAACAGGCATTTTGGACAACACATTCTTGACAACACTTATCAAACATGGTAGGGAAAGTTCTCACTCTGCATTATAAAAACGACAACCAGATATCAACTATTACAGAAATGAAATAAGACGGAAAATTTTTAACAAATTGTTTAAACTATTTTCTTAAAGAGACTTCCTCCACTGCCAGAGATCTTGAATAGCCTCCCGCTCAGTTGTACGGAAGCAATTCTTCACATAATTGATGAACTTGGCTTCCACTCTGCGAAGAAAGCCACCTTTTTCTATACTTGCTTGCATTTTTGCTTTAATGTCTTCTACAGAACTAGGTCTTTTTGGTGTTTTAGGAATTTTTTCCTGTTTTTTGAAGGATTCTTGTCCTTTTGATCTTGGTGTTGATGATGGTTTTGAGTCTTTTCCATTCTGATTTGACTTCTGTGCATTTTTGGCTCGAGTATCTCAAATAGATTTTTTCACTGGTGCTTTTTCTTCAGCTTCCTCATCATCAGAATCATCATCTTCTTCGTCATCATTATCTTCATCATCATCTTCAGCAGCAGCAAGTTTTACTTTTTTCTGTGGAACCTTGCTACCACTTCCAGGGGCAGACCGCTTTCCTGATATACTTAAGAGTTTCACATCCTCCTCCTCTTCATCTTCTGACTCGGCATCTTCCTCCACAGCTACTAAGTGCTGTCCACTAATATGCACTGGACCTGAACCACACTTCAACCTTAAGACCACTGGTGGTGGGATTTCAAAGCCCCCAAGGGAAACCGTTGGCTGTACAGACATTTTCTTTTTTCGTTTTTGTTTTCGTTTGTTTTTTTTGAGACAGGGTCTCGCTCTGTTACCCAGGCTGGAGTGTAGTGGTGCAATCTCGGCTCACTGCACGCTCCGCCTCCCGGGTTCACGCCATTCTCCTGCCTCAGCCTCCCGAGAAGCTGGGACTGCAGGCGCCCGCCACCATGCCTGGCTAATTTTTTTTGTGTTTCTAGTAGAGACGGGGTTTCACCATGTTAGCCAGGATGGTCTCGATCTCCTGACCTCGTGATCCGCCCGCCTTGGCCTCCCAAAGTGCTGGGATTTACAGGTGTGAGTCACCGCAGACATTTTCAAAGTTGCCAGTGTTACTTGATTTGGACTACCTTCGTAATTCATTGCCTCTGCTTCAACAACGTACAATTCATCCTCTGCACCAGCCCCTAAACTGACCGTTCTTAAACACAACTGGTGCTCGTTTTCATCATTATCCACCTTAAAGTGATCATCTTTGTCGGCCTTTAGTTCACAACCGAAAAGACTGTTTTGGGGCCTCGGGGGGCTCATGTCCACATCCATCGCGTCTTCCATCAGGTGGCGGCGGGCACTTCGGTGGGAGAGAAGGCGGACGGAGATAAACCGACGCTGCTCCACAGAATAGCCGCGTAGGACAGAATCATACCAGGAATGTTCTGTGTGCATTCTGTCCACATCCACAAGAGTTCAAATATTTTGCTATCTGGCCGGGCGCAGTGGCTCACGCCTGCAATTCCAGCACTTTAGGTAGCTGAGGTAGGTGGATCACTTGAGCCCAGGAGATAGAGACCAGCCTGGCCAACATGGCAAAACCCCATCTCTAAAAAAACACAAAAATTACCTGAGCATGGTGGTATGTGCCTGTAAGTCCCACCTACTCAGGAGGCTGAGGTGGGAGAATCAGCCGACCGAGCCCAGGAGGTTGAGGCTGCAGTGAGCCGAGATCATGCCACTGCACTCCAGCCTGAGCAACAGAGTGAGAACTTGTCTCAAAATATATATATTTTGGGGGGGGGGGACACACGCTAACTGAGGACACTATCTCAAAACCTGAAGAGAAAGGGCATCACTAAATAGCCAACAGAGATTTGGACATAATCAGAGCTACTGTTCACAAAATGACACAAGGAAACACCAAGCAGGGAGTAAACAGTGATCATCTGTGGGATTTGAAAACTCGACCTCCAGGAAACACCTAGATTGATTGCTCATAAAACTATTTCCTCTGCCCAGCTGCCCACCGTCTGGGAAGTGAGGAGCGCCTCTGCCCGGCTGCTGTGCAACCCTCCAAGTGTGAAGTGACAGCCTTGTGTGTGATATTTCTGCCCTCCCCAAGTTAGCATTTTCAACATTAAAGTTTACTTTTTAATTGAAAGTTTTAAATTGGAGAATAAAAAAAAAACTATTTCCCCTCAGTCCTAAACTTGTTTCACTTCATGAAACCAGTTAACTAAGTGACAAAAGAAAGTTTTGTCTTTATCAGAGTACACACACATGCCAAGGCATTAATTATTTACAATTTTCCATTATTTATCTAATTTCCATTTAGTGCCTCATCTTTCAATGAGCCATATGTTTTCCCTTTGAACAGGGTTTTGGCAAAATTTTTCCATTTTTTTATGTCGCTGTAATTCATTCTCTATCAAACATTAAATATTCATTTATTTCTATACTCTGTAATAAGGTTTTCCATCCTTCTGGTCTCCTGGTGACTTTGACTTTATCAGTCCTATTGAATTTTGGTAAAAAAATCATATACTTCTCATTAGTTCAGAACAACAGGGTTAAAAACTAATTTTGATAGTTAAAATAGCTGAAAATAGCCGGGCACGGTGGCTCAGACTTGTAATCCCAGCACTTTGGGAGGCTGAGGCGGGCAGATCACGAGGTCAGGAGATCGAGACCATCCTGGCTAACAGGGTGAAACCCCGTCTCTACTAAAAATACAAAAAAAAAAAAAAATTAGCTGGGCGAGGTGGCGGGCGCCTGTAGTCCCAGCTACTCGGGAGGCTTAGGCAGGAGAATGGCGTGAACCCGGGAGGCGGAGCTTGCAGTGACCAGAGATCGCGCCACTGCACTCCAGCCTGGGCGACAGAGCGAGACTCCGTCTCAAAAAAAAAAAAAAAAAAGCTGAAAATAACACTGAATACATGCATCAGTGGCAAGAGCATCAGCTTGGAGTCAGACCAGCCATGCTTGAAATAACTGCACCATCAATTAACCTCTCTTAGCCTTAATTTTCTCATCTGTGCAGTTGGCATAAGAAGTGTCTACTTCTTAAAGGTGCTGTGAGAAATAAGTGAGCAAATGAATGCTAATGCATTTGGAAATTATAAAGCACTAATCAGATGTAAAAGCGTGTTCTTAAATTACTTACTGAATGAATGTAGGTTTTATAATTTTTCCTTTGAACACAAAGGTTCTAATCATGATGACATTCTTTTTTAGACATTGTCTATTTGCACACATCTCACCAAAATCAGGAATGATTTTCTTCTCTTTGCTAGGCCCCAGTTAATTGATTCTTGTTAAAACTAACAAGATAAGCTGGGTGTGGTGGCTCATGCCTGTAATCCCAAGACTTTGGGAGGTCGAGGCAGGCGGATCCCTTAAGCCCAGGAGCTCGAGACCAGCCTGGGCAACATGGCGAAACCCAGCCTCTACTAAAAATACAAAAATTAGCTGGGTGCAGTGGCATGCACCTGTAGTCCCAGCTACTTGGGAGGCTGAGGTGGGAGGATCACTTGAGCTTGGGAGGTGAAGGGTGCAGTGAGCCATGTTTGTACCACTGGACTCCAGTTTGGGCGATAGAGTGAGACCCTATCTCAAAACAAAAACAAAAACAAAAAGCTAGCAAGACAAAAATTTTAGGCTGGGCATGGTGGCTCACACCTGTAATCCCAGCACTTTGGGAGGCCAAGGTGGAAGGATAACTTGAGCCCAGGAGTTGAGACCAGCCTGGGCAAGATAGGGAGACCACCATCTCTACAAATAATAATTTGAAAAATACCCAGGCCTCGTACACGCCTGTAGTGCCAGCTACTTGGGAGGCTGAGGTGCAAGGATCACTTGAGTCTGGGAGGTTGAGGCTGCAGAGAGCTGTGATCATGCCACTGCACTTTAGCCTGGGCAAAAGAGTGAGATCCTGTCTCAAAAAATGAAATAAATAAATAAGTAAATTTCAGCACACAAGAAAACAGCACTGCATTCAAAAAAGATTTTCCTTCTTGTTCTTTTATTTTTTCTCCAAGACAATATTAATAGCTCTCATGCATCCCTTTTCAGAGCATTGCCTGTTTGTTTCCCTGCCTTGTCACATGTATACATGATCTATTGGGGTGGTTGGGCAGAGTGCTCCAGCTCCAAGCTCCAGAAACAGCACGAACAGCTCACCCGTCCCAACTCCTCATATGGAAAATGTCCATCCCCACTCTGTCTGCAAATCCAATTAGCCAGGGTCATTTGGAAGATTTTCTATAAATCATTTTCCCCTGGAAAATACGGAATATCCTAGATCCGTTTGTGGTATAAAAAAGCTATTTTTCTGACTAACACCCTCTAGACCTCTAAAGTAAACTTTTAAGGAAAGAAGCAAACAAGCAAGTAATCCGAAGAACACAAAACTAATTTGATACCGTTCCCTTCCACAATTGTCCCAGCTCTTGGGCAGTGGTTGTCCAGCTTGGAGGCAGCGACCAGCAGGGGCCACAGTATCACAGTTAAGGAGGTGGAAGGAAAGCATCTGGGTGGGTACCATTACGTAGTCTGAGCGTCTTTGAACTAATTCAGTTCTGAGAACATTTGCTGGATAAGTTATTTATATATCTATGATCTGGATCAAGGAAATGAACTAGAGATATTAATCTTCATGCAAGCACGGTTCAATTCATGCCATTTCCCTACTTTAAAATCTTCAGTAAATACTTGTGGAATAAGTGAATACTGAATAGTCAGTGGTTACCCATTGCCTGTAAGATAAAGTTTAAGAATGGCCTTTAGAGAGTGATGATATTGTCTGGATCTGTGTCCCCACCCAAATCTCATGTAGAACTGTAATCCCCAGTTTTAAAGCCTGGTGAGAGGTGACTGGATCATAGGAGTGAATTTCTCCCCAGTGGTTTAGCCCCATCATCTACTTGGTGCTGTTCTCGTGATAGTGAGTGAGTTCCTGCCAGATCTGGTCGTTTAAAAGTGTGTGGCACCTCCCTTCTCTCTCGCTCTTGCTCCTGCTCTGGCCATGTGACTGTGCCTGCTCCCCCTTTGCCTTCTGCCATGATTATGTTTCCTGAGGCCTCCCCAGAACCCAAACAGATGCTAGCACATGCTTCCTGCACAGCCTGCAAAACCATAAGCCAATTAAACCTCTTTTCTTTATAAATTACCTAGTCTCAAGTATTTCTTCATAGCAATGCAAAAACAGACTAATACAGAGGCATTCTATAATCTGAATCCAAAATACCTCTCATCCATTCATTTGTTCGATAAATACATACTGGGTGCCTAGGAAAGGAAGTACTGTACTTGGCGCTGTAGATTCAGATTTGAACAGACACAGCAGATACTGGCCCTGACTTCTTGGGGCTACATCTGATTTCCACTATTTCTCACCATTTGGGCTGTCCCCGCACCCTATTTTCTTAGACACAATCCAAGCTTTCCCAGTTTCACTCTTTTGCCAAGGCTCTTCATTGTCCCTTTCAACACCATATATGCAATTCTAACTTTTCCCTAAAAAGTATGCCCCCTAGGCCGGGCGCGGTGGCTCAAGCCTGTAATCCCAGCACTTTGGGAGGCCGAGACGGGCGGATCACAAGGTCAGGAGATCGAGACCATCCTGGCGAACACGGTGAAACCCCCGTCTCTACTAAAAAATACAAAAAACTAGCCGGGCGAGGCGGCGGGCGCCTGTAGTCCCAGCTACTCGGAGGCCGAGGCAGGAGAATGGCGTGAACCCGGGAGGCGGAGCTTGCAGTGAGCTGAGATCCGGCCACTGCACTCCAGCCTGGGCGACAGAGCAAGACTCCGTCTCAAAAAAAAAAAAAAAAAAAAAAAAGGTATGCCCTCCTCCTGAAACTCCCACCTAATCTCCTTTCCCTCCTCCTCCCACGTGAAGGAAGGTCCCAGGTGAAGGAAGTTTTTCCAGCACCTTACAGGGAAGGACCTTTTCAACTACGTTTATAGTATTAATAGTTAGCAAATGCCTTGTAGATAGCTGGCACTTAGTAAATATTTGCCAAATAAATGAATGAAGTCCTCGTGATTTAAATTATAGATACTGTGTTTACACCCCTGAGAAACATTTCTCAAACCTCCTTAAAGTTATCATCTCATGAACTCAAAAGCCAAGTAGATCATTTGTTCATGATTACTCAATGCAATTAAAATATATGGCTGGGCACAGTGGCTCACACCTGTAATCCTAGCACTTTGGGAAACTGAAGCAAGAGGATCACTTAAGCGTAGGAGTTCAAGACCAGCCTGGGCAACATAGCAAAACCCCAGCTCTGTAAATAAATAAGCCAGGCACAGTGGCTCATGCCTGTAATCCCAGCACTTTGGGAGGCCGAGGCGGGCAGACCACTTGAGCTCAGGAGTTCAAGAGCAGCCTGGGAAACATGGCAAAACCCTACCTCTACAAAAAATACAAAACT